TCTACGATAGATCAGTCAGTCGAACGAGCACAGAGATATGCTAATATAATCCACGTCGCTTGCAACTGCAATTTTGCCGCGCAAACTAAATCATTAATGACTCACTCGCAATCCCGAATCGAAGAAAACTCTGTGAACACTGAAACTTCTATCCGAACAACTTTACTTATCTAAAGTGAATTAACACTCACTACTATTCTAAGCAAATAACATTATCGAACGAACTCAGCATTTGCAGTCAAAAGTAGACTACTTCGTAATGACTCATTTCTAAAAACATAATACCGACATTCTAAATACTAATTAAAATTTCCTAAAAAGACATAAAAAAGGACATACAAATCTACAAATATCACGAGCACACCAACACAATAACATCTTCAAAATATTCTGTACATATTAAAGTCTTATTTGTATATAAATGCATTTATCGATTTTGAATTGCGTGTATGTTTTGTCTTGTTTAGATTGAAATTGTTTATTTGTTTGTGGATGCAGAAAAGCTCACGCAACCTAACATAAAAATTCCTTCTGATTTAACTCAATGCTACAGCAAATTCCTTAGTTTATTCTGCACATCCCCAACAGTTTATAACAATTTGAACTTTGTCATAACATGACTATGCTACAAGCAATACTTGTACTTTTTTCTTATTAGAATGCATTAAAATATCTCTAATTTTAATAATCTTGTGCGTTGCTGCCAAAGAGAATCTTATTAAATGCTTGATGTCTATTTTCGCTATTTTCTCTTGTGTAATACACAGGTTTAAAAATCTTGCTTATTTTGAAAAGTATTCTATACATTAAACTGCCAATGTTAATATTGAATTATTATTTATTTATTATTTGCGAGTGTGTGTGTGTGTGTGTAACACGACGGCTATGATCGGGACATCCACATAGAAAAGGATGGTTGTAGAGATATTATTATTATAAATAAATAAAAATAAAATAATAATGAAAATTATAAATAAAATAAAATAAAACAATAATATTTAAACACTCTCAAAAAATAAATGAAATGAAAAAATAATAAAAACTCTCCCAACATGCAACAAAAACTGTTCCTGCCGGAAATACGGACATTTCGCCAAAAGACGTTAAATTCAATTTCTTCGCCACGAGCCTTGGTGCGGGCAACACTTGTTTGACTTGTCACTGTGATATGGCTTGTAATAATACAGAGTGACTTCTCCCTTTTATCACATGTACCATAAAACAATTGTAACCTAAAAATACACACAAAAAATATAAGTAAATTGTATGAAATTAACATACAATTTACCATACTTTCCAGTTATTTCTGTACGTTTTATTTCCTGTCAAGTATGCTTTTATCTCGATGAACACGCCGCTAATTTCTGCTGCTATGATGTGAGTGAAACACCACATAGCAAATTATTTTATCTCAATCTTAAATGTTTTGTTTTTTATGACCAGCAGTAAAGTCTACAAAATGGGGTCTTCAAAGCAGCCACCCACTTGACCAAAACAGAATAAAATAATAGATAAATGAATGAAAATTTGGGGGACGTTGGAAAATCTCGTTCGCAGGCTTATATAAACAATCACAGCTAGGGTTGAGAATAGTTCCGTGCTGCCGATTGACAGGCGGACGTTGTCTGTTTGGAGAGAGATGCCAGCCTCGCATCGTAATGTAGAGATGAGTAGAGGGGCGTAGGGGAAGTCACAGTTCTCGCTGATTAAAGGAAATAGCTGATCCGTAGTCTGTCATGGCAGAAGTTGTCCCAAGTGTTATCTACCTACTCACTCCCAGACCAGACATTGATACTGCTTCGTGCTTAAAACTACACATACAAAAATTTAAGATTGAAATTCATGTTTCCCTCTGTTTATTACATATTTTACTGTTTTTTTATAGCTCGACTTGTGATTAGGAAAAAGTCATAGAGAAAATAAATAATATTTTATTTTAAAACAGGTAATATTTTTTAATATAATATTATTTTATTTCATATTTGAAAATAAAAGTCACAATTTATAGTAATGAAATAAGTAATATTTTAATAAACTACTCCATTAAAATACTAAAACCTTAATGACTAAAGATTTTCAAATGCTACTCATCAACATTAGTTATTTTGTTTTGATGAAAAATTTTTAAAAAATCTATATAAATTAAGATTTTGTAAAATAAAAAAAATTATACATATTCAAATTACAGCGGACACATTATGAGAACATATATTAATTAATATTAATTAATATATAAGAACTTATATTAATCAGTTTCAGACAAAAAATATTTTAATTAAAACATTAAAAAGATACAATACTACTACTGGATTGATACTAATTTAAAATGAAATCTAATTAACTTATAATTTATGGAGAGAAAAAAAAACTACACAGTCTTTAAAACATTGAAAATTATCAAACTTCAGCTTTTAAGCATGTATAGTTATCTTATGAAGCATGGGAGAGCAAACGAAACAACAGTACTGTCTGTGAGGCGAAAAGAAAAGAAAGCAAAAGTTGTATTTGGCAATACAGCAGATATGATCGGAGAGTTTCTGTGTGGGCGATGTGTGGCGATTTTGAATGTGAGTACATTTGGTAAGTCATGAAGTTGATGCGTTTGGTGGATTGGTTGACGAAGGTCACGGTAGTGATGACAAGCGAGGCCTGGAGTGAATTAGTGCAACTTGATTAATCGGTAATGTTTCAGTTATTTTCGCATTCTGGACTGATGGAAAAACAAACGAAAACGTCAATAACCAGTTTGTGGGGCGGTGTGAAAAGATAACAAAATTGTTGATATATGGTTCTTTAGTTTTCGTTACAGTGAATGTGTAAGAAAGGCGATTTTGAAGGAAGGTGAGTCTTGATAAGACCTGGGGTTAACGGACTTGTCGTGTTGGTTGACCAAAGTAAGATAGTGACGCCGCGAGAAGCCTGGAGTGGATTAGTGAAGCCGTGAATCTGACTTTGACGAAACAGAGAATGCGAGCGGATTGTTTGCATGTCACTATGGTGTGGGTGTTTGGTGTAGGGTGGGTCTCGAGTGTATATGTGTGTCAACTTCATTACTATATGGCTTTTAACAATTAAATTATAATATATTAAATAAATAAATGAATATATTCCTCCATTTTATTAAAATATTACTTAAATTTACTATTATAAACTCAATGAAAATGTTACTTTTCCTACCAACAAGTCGAGGTTATGTCTTTTTCTAAAACGTAGATGGACTTCACATCACATGACTTTTTTCTTCCTATAACCGATCAAACACCACCTTAAAAAAAAGTTAATAATACTGAAAATTTTCAGAATTCGTATTGCCGTTTTCCCTTATTTATAAAATTAAAAACTATGGCTTATTCATAAAACAATAAATATTGACTTTATTTTCCCCGCCCAAGAATTCTGTAGTGTATTTTGTTTGTTTTTTAGTGACAAGCAAGCAGAAGTTACACGAGAGAAAGTATAACGTTGTGAGTGAATCTTCCACTTTAGAAAGTCCGTGAAAATCAACTTTCGAAATTTTGACTGGACTCAAATGCCAATATCGACCAATTGGTAATCCTCCTTCGTTACTTAATAATACTTACACACAAATTTCAGGTTTTGGATTATAAAAAAAGTAAATAAAGGTATTATTATTTTATTTAGTTTCTTATTTTCCAGTAAATTTTAAATTTAACACTTGGTCCAGAATGCACCCGCTTAACTGTTACTTTCGAAGTTAGCTTAAAAAAAGGCTAGCAGGCACACAGTCTGGTATTTATTTACCCTTTCAAACAGCAAAAGCAAACTTTACAGAGAGATACAACAGTAACACTTACAGACATTTGAGTTCGTTTTTGATAAAATAAATAAAAAGAAAACACTTTTAGTCTCTCTCTACTCTAAAAAATGTTACTTAAGTAAAAAAAAAAAAGTGTTTGGTGAACAAAAGCAAAAATATTGGCACAATTTTAATGTCGTAAGTTTTTGTAACATTAAGAAGAAATATTGGAGAGACTTCTACATATAAAAAAATATGTACATTTGCAATAAATAAATAAAACACATTTCTATGAAAAATCCATTTTTTCCATCCCCACGCCGCCATCCAGTAACTTTTATGAGAATCAATAACTTTCAGTTTGATCCAAATAAATCGTTGCCGTTTAAGCTGTTTTTTTTTTTTAGACATTATCATTTTTTTAGCCTTAAAAAAATGACTGAATAAATTCCGAATGAAAACAAGGCATGTAAAACTAGGTAAAAATAAATAAAATTGAAGCCCTGTCTTAGAAAAACATTTTAAAGTTTATTCAATTCTTTTATTTAATTAATTAAAATAAATTTTCATTTTTTTAAAAATCAATATTTTTTCATTTTAATTGCTTTTTTTTATTTTTAATTGTTACTCTCATAAAATAAGAAGAGAACATTTCTCAGTAGCACTTAGTGGAACCCTTCAAATGTTTATTTCGAAAGAAAATTTAAAAATTTAAATTTAAGATTCTTCTTTAATCTTGTGCGTATGATTTCCTATCGTCTGCTCATGACAATTTATTTTTTTTATTGAATTATTTTTAGGCTAGTAGGTTATTTGCCAAATAATAATTAGGGAACGATAATTCTAAATCTAATTTTGTTTTTTTTCCAATGTTTGCTTGAGCATAAATTTTAAAAAAAAGTATTAAATTAAAGAAAGTTTCATATCATGAGATCAGATAAAAATACAAAAATGTTAGAAGGGGTAATTAAAACTTATGTCAGTTGTCACTGGTTATTATTTGGAACGTTCACCGGCATATAACAAAATAAGCAATAGGCACCAAGATCGGTGTTCGATTTCTTAGCCAGTGCAACGGGAGATGAGTAACGGGTCAGAGTAGAGTCGAACACGCTTCATTAAACAGATTGACGGCCATCTTGTGTTTGGCTGGAGTTGCCATCAAGTTGTTTTTGTTGTTTCATTGCTTTTATTGAGAGTTGTGGAATTTTTGTGCCTTATCTGTCTCGATCTTGTCAAGGGAATGAGGAAAAGTATAGACAAATGCTGTAGTGTAAGTATAGGACTTCTGAAATATTTTTAAACCCATTTTAAAAGAACTTTTATAAAATTTTTCATCTTAGTAACACTCACCCCCAACCCCCCAAAATTGTTTTTGTTCTAAAAATAATTTAACTTAACTGTTTCCTTATTTAATCTTTTGATTAATCAATTTTTCAACAACAAAAATGTTTTTAAAAAATGATTTTTACAACAAATCAAAGAGATAAATAATTTTTATCTCTTTGACGTGTAAAAAAAAAATGTTTTTTAATTTTTTGTAAAAGATAATTTAAGAAAAATAACTTTTTTTTTTATAATCACACCAATATCCAATTGACAATTACAGTTTTGAGCTTACCTGTACGTTTAATTTTCAATGTGTATTTTATCAATATAAATTTTAAATTAAATTTTTGGATTATTTACAATTAAACAGAAACTGCTAGGAAAGATAAACCAATACAGAACAGAAGTTATTCCTGGTCTCATTACTAAGATCAAAGTGTAGTTTCTGTCCGTTTATTTCATGGGCCACACACACGAAAAATCAATCAAGAAAACAGAAAACTAGTATCGTCATGTGTCCGAAACAAATTTTGCATACCGAATATTGAATTATTACCTCCTTTTAAATCGCTTTTTGCCTAACCTCACAATTTTTTACCCATAAAAAATGTTGTATTTCTACCGTGATATTTGCTGTGAATATTTATTATTTATTTTAGTACGACGAAATTCCTTTGATCCCTAAAAAACTGGACGATAATTAAATAACAATTATAATTAATTTTATCAATTAGTTATTTTAAAAAATAACCAGATATGCCTAATTTTTGACAACTGGTAATTGATTGACACACAATCTCTATTCTCTACATCAAAATTGATAAAATAAAATTAAGTTTTTTTAAGCGATAAAATATTTTTTAAAATACATGGTTATTCACTAATTAGGTACCTCCACGAAATCGCTAAAAAATCAGCATGCCGTGATGAAAACTAACATGCTCCAAACATAATAAAAATAGTTTTACCGTCAAAAAAATCTTTGTTTTAAGAGAAAGAATCAAAGTATTTTTCGATATTTAATTAAATTTCTTACTCCTTTTTATAACATTCGAAATTTTGAATAAAAAACTTGTTTTTCTCGCGTCAGCGGTTGTACTAACTAACTTTTAGCAAAATTTTTAGCCTTTTTTTTGCGATGAAACATTTGAAAATTCTTGCAAAAATCAAATAATTGTCAGATTTTAATTAAAATTCAAAACTTATTCACAAATGAATGAAATTATTTTTATTAGAAAATATTGGTAAAAATATATTTTTACCAATATTTTCTAATAAAAAAGTTGTCTGATGTGTTTCAGTTTCAGCCCATTATGAAATCTTGAGAATTCAACGAGATAAGTTTTAGTGTCTATATTAGGTAAAAATTGAAAGCAGAATTCTTTGAAGAATTCAAATTACCGATTTTTTTTTTTTTGAAAAATCTGTTCTGAATTGAAAAATAAAAAAAATGTAATAAAACTAAGACATTATTTGGTTAGAGAAGCTTTTAATTGCTTTTATGACTACAATTTTAAATTGAATGATTTAAGGTTTTTAAAATAAATCTTTTAAAATTCATTTTTCATTTTCAATCAGATAATTCTTAGAAAATATTGTTAAACTGTATTTACTAATCATATATTGTAAAGCTTATTACAATCTGACAACACCAAAATATTTTTAAAAGAATTTCAATTTGTTTTTGTATCTTTGATTACATGCAGAATTTCAGAAGTATGGATGTAGAAACTTTATAAATCTATCATTTAAAGGTGATGTGTTTTAAGGGTTGTTCTCCCCCACCACTTACACTGGAAAAAAAATACTCAAAATTTATTGTCAGCTCCGCCATACTTAACTATGAACATGTTCAGCTGTCAATTGAATGTCAATAAATCTATTAACACATCAGAAAAACAAGACCCCGTAGTTAAGAAATGTTTGTATACAACATTTTATGCAAGAGCAAGTAATATTTGTTTCAAATCAGATTAATTTAACTTTAAATTTGCTAATTTTCCTCAAATAACATTTCAGAAATATATATTTTTTTATTTTTGCAAGATTTTTAAAACTGAGAATTAGCTTTTGTTTACAAATGTGTCAAAAAGGGCCATTTTGAGCAATTTTATTGAAAAAAAAAATTCTGGTGAACATAATTTCTGTTTGAAATACACCACAGAGTATTTGGCTTACTGGAAATAGTAAATTTTAAATACTTTAGCTTTCAGTTAAAGCTAAAATGAAAGCTTCAAAAAAGATTTTAATTTCAAAAAATTAATTTTTAAACCTTATGTATATTGAATTATTGGAGGTACCTACTTTAATGTAATTGTTATTGTTCATTTCTTTAATTCCACAGTGTCAGATCAACTTTTTTAACTTCTGGAAATAAAATAATGACTCCTTTTATTATAAAAACACATTTATTTTTTAAAACATTTTCTTCCCAAGAAGAAAATGTTGATGCCAGAGAAGCACTTTTACATTAACCAGAAATTATTTTTAAAATTAAAAATTGAAGTTTAAATTTTATTCCAGTGAATGTTTCTGAAGCTAATTACTGCAGTTTTTCAGGTTTGCTGTGGTATTTTTATTTTATGCCTTAACTGTAAAAACTTATTTTTGAGTAAAATAAATAAATTATTTTTTATTGTTTTTAATTAAAATTAATAGTTTCAGGTTAATCCCCAAAATATCATTGTATTACATCAACAACTGTTACTGCATTTTTGTGACCACAACTTTTTTAAAAGTATTAAAAACCCTTAGTGGTAGTAGTCTGTATCTTAGAAAAAAAAAAGTGTTTCAGAATAATGAGATAGACATTTAGTTTTTGAGCATTCTGTCCTCTGTTATTCACCCTGCATTTGAATGGGGTCTGGCTTTAAAAAAAAAAAAAAAAAAAACCTAATATAATATAAAAACTAAAGCTCAAAAACAGTTGTTAGTACTGCTGATGAGCCAAAGTGTACAAGTCATGTCAATATGACTGAAAGGGTCAATCTGCTTAAGTTCTCCTTTTCAATCTGCAGTGTCCTCCTTTTTAGACATTTGAAAATGACCAGTTTTAAAATCCAAATAAAATTAACTTATTCTTAGGATTGAGTAGATTTTTTTTTTTAAAAACTTATTGATAAATTATATTCTTCAGAACAGTTGAAAAAGATTAAAAGAAATAAAACGTTCTTTACATATGCTCTATATGCTAATTCAGTAATCTATTATTCTAAATGATTATCATTAGAGTATTAGACTAATTATTAATTTTACATTTTGTTTGATAGATTTTATTTTTTTGTGTAATCAAATAAAAATTTGATTTATTTGATATTTTCTTTGCATGTAAGTTATATATGTTATTTGTGTATTCTAAGTAGAAAATAAGTTAGAAAGCTCCTGAAATATTAACATTTAGTCCTGCTTTTATATAGTGTCCTTTCAGAATGTGGGTGATAATAGCTCTCCACAACATCTTATCCTTTGTAGCTCTTAGCAGTATTTGCTTCTTTACTATCTTTCCCACTCCTTGATTTACCTTCCATTTATGCAAGCTAGGTAGGTTACTCAATGGTTCCCTGTCTCAATTGCATTCAGTATGTCTTGTAAGTGACAAATTCTCCAAGATCTCTTTCCTCATTATATGTCCCAGAAATTTCAACTCTTTCTAATTATATATGTCCATATATACAATTCTAAGTATATATGTCCTGTTTGTTTCCATTTTCCTTATAATCTCCATGCTCTGTCCATGCTATTGACAGCAGTTTTCTGTAGAACTACATTTCTGTTATCTCACATCACCTTTTCATCTGTGAGTAAATTTTGCAGTATTCACTGCCATATGGAAGGATTGATATTACATAGCAGTTCAGCACTCTCTTCTTTGTTTTGAATAAAATTTGCCTTTCAGTACTTTGCTTAGCTTTTGGAGGGCATCTTTCGCTATTCCAACATGCCTTTGAATTTCAGTGTCACATTTTCCCTCATCTGTTAAAACATCTTCCAGATAGTTAAATTTCTGTACTTGCTTGATTTGGACATTTCCAATGAAGTCTTCTTTTTTATATTTTTTTATTTGGAATATTTAGTCCTGGCATTAAATTTCAATTGTAAGTCATATAAGTTAAAATATGATGAGGAAAACGCAACCTTTGATGATTTACATTTGTTTTTAATTTTATTGCATTTTTAACTTATTAAAAGCATTGCATAAATGACTGAAAATGCATATTTTTGAATTGATTTTCATCTATCATCAAAGTAGTTTTTCTCACTATGTCTGTAAATTTTCCTGTGTCAACAAATTCATGGGAATGTCTAACTCTACCAGGATGATTTAAGGGTTGAAAAAATATTGCACATGAAATAAGCCTAACATAAACTATTAAAGAACAGTGATGACATATTTTCATGGCAAGAATTACATGCCTGTTTCAAGCACAAAACTAACATTAAATATTAATATTAAAAGCTAGTTTATTTTTCTGCTTCTTTATGCACAAAAATTATATATATTCCAATGTTCTTTAATAAACAATATTTCTCTACATATTTCAACTAGGCATTTTTTTAAATCTTACATATAATGAGTGAGTGCTTTCTGGGTTAATACCTCTCCTTGTATGAAACTGTTAAATTTTGAAGAATTTTTTCTTATCCTCTTCAACATATTACTGTGACTGTAGCAGAAAAGTTAGTGTCACAATTCATTTCATAAATTAGAAATATTAATGTTATCAACATATTTTTTAATAAGTATACTTGTTTTTTGACATTAGAGTATGGTGCTTCTTGAAATGTTTGTGGCTTGTTTTTGTACAAAAAAGGAAAAGAAAAGAGATCCTAGCACATTTTTTTTTCTTACTACTAAGAAACAAACACTTGCTTGCACTTTTCTTTAGTTTGAATAAGAAAAGAGTAATTCCAGGTTGTGTCTACACATCTTCAGCAAATATGTAC